AATATATAGTTTCAATTACTATATAGTTACATATGCTCGTCAATATGTTTAAAGAATCAAAGATAGGATACAACTTACAAGGACCTACTTCTGTTCCATTTTTGACTTGAAACACTTATTAAGAAAAGAATTATTGACATAGACATAGTGAGTTTACCATTTTATCCCTATTAATTGATCGAATTTCAAAATCAATAAAGAGGTTCTCTTTTTCAAAAATATCAACTCTCCAAATAAATTGAAGGTATAATAGGTAAAAAATATTGTCTTTTCTTGATTTGTTAAAAATGACAAGTAAAATTTCAAAGTTAGACAAGTAAAAAGGGATAGAGAGAGTATTTAATTAGCTAATTAGTGTGAATTAATTCAATATATATATACTACTCATGGAAAAAGTTGTGTTATGCTACGTGAAAAAAATATGATGATGACCTAATTAAGTTTTGAACATTTGCCATGGCAATTAATTATGAGGGGAATTTATGATGATGAATTAGTAATACATAAATTAGTAATATCTATATATATATATATATATATATATATATATATATAATGCAACATAGCTAATATCATCATATTTAACATTATTCTTATACATCCAGTCAAACCTTTCCTTAGATTCTTCACAATGTTTTTTTTTTCAACTTTATCTTTAGATCATACTCAAATTCTCCATTGATCTTAGACCATTGCCGGGCACAAATTAAAATAAGAATAATATCTAGTTATTTTATTCATTTAATATAACAATCAAACAATTGATATAACATTTTTAATTATTCATTTAATATAACAATCATATTTTAATATATATTTTAAAAATATTTTAAGTTGTTAATTATTGTGATTTATACTGAAAACTCAAAAGAAAAGTAAGAGACGGATAATTATGCTTATTAATTTCAATTTTTAGATATACTAATCCACTAGCAAACCAATAGAAAAATCAATTGATTTAATATCGGGTTAATAATTATCGGACGGTACTTCTTTTGACTCTGCTACAGCGAACTTGTCCTAGAGAAGGAGAAGTCGTTATTAATTGAATTTTCTTACAATATACTACCTCCGTCCACTTTTATTTATCATGTTGCGCTTTTCAAAATTCAATTTAACTAATTTTCAAAGTTAAATTAAATTATGTTAATTCGATATTTTAAACAAAAAATTTAGATATTCAAAAATTATACGAAAAGTACTATAACAATTTCTTGCATATCAATATGATGAAAAATACATCGTAAAATATTAGTCAAAGTTCTTATAGTTTGACCCTAAAAAAGGAAACCATGACAATTAAAAGTAGACGGAGGGAGTATTACTTATCTGAAGCTAAATGGAATTTACTATTTTGAGACCAAATTTTTCTGAAATAGAATCGGTTGCTAATTTCTTATTTTCTTAATTATCTACACATGAAAACAACTTTTTGCCTAAGACATTCATCAAATAGGGCAATATATATAAACTGTCCCATTACCAACTTTCTTGTAGACTAAAAACGAGTAAAAGACGCGTTAACAAACTGGATATATGCAGTGGGAAATCATCATAGGTTTAACTATATTTTTATAAAAATAATAATTTAAAGCATTGGCTCCCATCTTTGCACACATACATTAAAAAGATTAAATTGTTTTTTTTTAACATTGAAATTATAGTAAGAAATTTATTGAATATGTATAAATTATTAATTTAGAAGCAGTAACTCAAAACGAATTAAAATTTTAAACTCATAAATTCTAAATTTTGACTCCGTCTCTAAGTTACACGTGATAGATTTTCTTAGGAATATAATTAAGTGCAAAAACTTGTTTTATAATAGAGATCATTTTTAACAATGAAATTAGGCTAGCTGCTGAGTGCTTGATTTCAACTTTTTTCTCTTCTTAGGAAAACTGTCTCCTTCCATCCATGATGTGATGTAAGCTTTTGTATAGTTGCATTTCTTTATTACTCCCTTCCTTTGAATCAATTTATTTGATTTTGAGTTAGTAGAGAGTTTATTAAAGTAATTATTTTAATTTTATAATATATTAAATTAAAGATATGTATAATATATCAAAATATTTTTTAATCTTATGATCTTAAATATGTAATGTAAAAAGTTAAATTAATGAGTTGTCAAAACAAAAGAAAAAATATTCTTTTTTTAAATGAATTAAAAGAAAAGCAAAACAAACTGAAAAAATGAGTATTATTTTATAACTTACTACCGATTTTACAACTTAGTTTAGGAGGTGTTAGAGTATGAGAGATTGGCAGAGCAAGAGTTAGAAGAGGTCAAACCGTCAAAGTAGGCGGGAGAATAATACTTTAATAATACTAACGATTAACTTAACTTGTCATAGCTATTGATTATTATATGTCTCCTTGAATTTAATAATACAGAAATAGAAGTCCTATCTTTAATGCTTAGAATAGGTGCAGTCCCCTTTCCTTCTCTCAAGCAGAGGAGTTATAGACAGCGTTTCAAAAAGTATGAACGAGTCATATTTAAATATTTTAATTATAAACATATCTTTTTAAATTTTTACTTATCTCATTTCATTTTTTAGCAATTTATTTTTCTGGTATTTCAATCCCGCCCCGTGAGGGGAGTAGGTAGTAATTATGAATGTTTCTCAAAATAAATATTTTTCCTTTGTTTCATTTTAACAATTGTCTAGAACTTTTAATAAATGTTATGTTTTTCGAAAGTTAACTTGACTAATTTTTAAAGTTAAATCAGACAACATTAATTTGATATTTTAAACAAAAAACTTTACTTATTCAAAAACTATATGATTAATTCAAAAACAAAATTTTAGTTATTCTTGAGAATTGAACACTATTATTAATAGTTCTTTAATACAAGGATATAGTAAAAAAAAAAAATACTAATTTTTGTCTCAAAGTTTTTAAGATTACACTTATTATTAGGGGTGGACATGGTACAGTGTCGTGCGGTATTAAAAAGTTCGGTTTGGTAATTTCGGTTTATGATTTTAAAAATACTATAATATTATTATATCAAACGGTATTTTAAAATTTGGTTTCGATATTTTGTAGTACGATAAATCGATGACCATAGTTTGGTCAACTTCAACTTACAAATATTCATATAATAAATAATTATGACTTTGACTTTTCAAAAAACGTCTCAATTTTATTATACTAATATCTTACACATATAAAAAAAAGTTCAAAATAAAGTACAAATAATTTTCTTTGTTAATTAATCACCCCAAAAGAACATTTACATCAAGATAGAGTAGTCAAAATTTCGATATCTAAATAAATAATTAATTACTATTTATATATTTATTAGTATTATATAGTTACATATATATGAATTTCATATGTAACTATATACTTGGTATGGTACTCCATACTTCGATATTTTTATTTTTATTATAAACATCATACTAATTACCAATTTTATTTTATTTTCTAAAATGCATATCAAATACAAAAATATTTATACTACGACGGTGTTAAAATTTCGATTTTAATACGGTATTTGATATTTATCAAATCATGTTCACCCCTAATTATTATTGGATAACTTCTTCCTTTTTCGCTAGACTAGAATGACATTTATTTTAAGATAGAAAAATAGTTATTTTGACTTCCATAATTGTGAAAAAAACGGGAGAATGTATGCCGTTATTTCCGTGTATCACTCAAAAGTACAAAGACACTACATACCTTAAATAAAATTTGGGAAAATTTTTGGCAAATAGTATTTATTCATATACCTTGTCATTATTTGGCAAATATTTTTGGCAAATAACCCAAATTCTCAAATACTAGAAAAAATTAGTATTTGGGCCAAATCTCATTATTTGGGAACTTTTAACAATTCAAATTCTACACCAAACTTTTATCTTTTACAAGAACACCCTCTATAGTAGTTGTTTATGTTGTTTTTACATAATATTTTACGTGAACATCAAAGTAGTGATGGAATATTCAGTAAATATGAAAGTGATGATAGAGTTGTTGATGAAAATGATAACAATTCGCTTAGGGTAACAAAGTCATGTGCAAACATATGGTTAGTTTGATAGTTTTTAAAACTTATGGTATATATCATATTTCTTAAAAATGTGAAATATATTTCCCAAATAGTATGGTCAAACACATGGTGAAATTTCACCCAAATTTTCACTCAAATAATATTTGCCAAAAATATTTGAAAATCTATGATCAAACGCTAGCTTAGTTTCTGCAAAAGAATATATGATAATCATTTCTTGTTTTATGTGTACATTTTTTTATTTATATTTTTATATTTGAATGTAAGCAAATAAAGTAATAATATTATCCTTAAAGCAATTATATATAATCTAAACAAATATTATTACAGGTGAGAACGGAATAAGGGTGATGGGGATGGGGCCTATAATATGAAGCAAAGATTAGGTGTGCTAGAAGATGCGGAAAACACAACATATATTAATAGATAACATTTCATAGATAAAATAAACATACTTGAAGTTGAAGGACTATTAGTACTACACATAATATACATTAGGGACAAATTTGAGTGAAGAACCATCTTGGGATATATTTTTTTCTTCTCAAACAAACAAATTTAGAATATGAAATAACCCATTGCTTTGGTGAAAACTAAAATTTCTCAAGAAGAGCTTTTTTGGACTTCGATCTCAACTGACTTTTTGAATTTTCTTTTGCACATCTACCAACCTCGGGACAACTTCAAACATCGCGGATTCGAGATAAAATGTCTAAAGTTTATGTGATGGAAATAAAAATAAAAATAATTGAATTTCAATCGTATGTGCCTAAACTTCAAGTAGAACATGTATCTGTTTACGTCCCCCAAATTGTTTTAGGCATCTTACCCCAACTCAGCCACACACCATAAGAGGAACAGATAGTCCCAAAAATATATATTCCGTCCCCTGCTCAGGTTTAAACAAGCTAGGCACATTGGAAAAACATTACTAGCAACAGAAGCTAATCACAGCACAAGGAACTCGACAAAGACAAATTCTGCGGTTTTCATACCAGAAAAACCATTCCAGCTACGATGGGAAGTTTCGAATACATTATACAACTGACCACTTTCCATTGCTTTTACAGTTTCTATACCAAACAATGCCACCATTGAGAAACAGTCATAACCCTGCAGAGCCTGCTTACTGTTACTCTATATCTATAATTAACATTCAAGTTGCACGTCGATCCAAAAAAGGTGAGAGGTCACGATAAACAATCTACAGAATTTTGTGAAGATGGAAGGAGGCTCAAATGTCTGTCAAGATCAATGATGACACAACAACAACATAAGCTAGAAAGAAGAAAATTGCTATCTGAATGAAGAACTTGGGATTGTCCCTCATGTTTGGAGATGTTACCGCCCTGCAACAGTGAAACAGTGACATTGTCAATTTGGTTGGCAGAAAGCAGCCTAGTAATTTAACAAGTTTTTGTCTGCAAGGAGAAATACCTAGCAATGCGTTGTGAAAGCCGATGAAAAGGCATGCTTTGAATAAACACAATACCAGGCCCCGTTAGGACAGCTGTCACCAGATTATCATTCTGCAATGGTACAGATATTGTTAGCACTTAGGACCATGACCTCAGAAACCAAATAACAAATGACAACAGCAGATGCAAGTCTGATTAGTTCCTTGAAGCAGAAGATAGCATATATTTTCATAGATAACCAACATTCACAAGTCAGGTTAGTTCAGTCATTATTAATAAAGAGAACTCAAGTAATTTTACTGTAACCATCTAAAAAAGTTTCGAACTCTGCATACTAATGGAAAGAAGTACAAGAAACTTGCAGGTAATCTGATCTTTTATAAAGGAAAAATTACACTTTTGTTTCTTTTGCCCACTTTGGTAGAAATGATATCTGGCTTTAATTTCCTTTTGTTTTTAGGTGATAACAATAGATCAGGGATAACTTGCGCATCTCAACTAACCTCTCCATTCTCCACCAGTACAGGTGTCAACTCTGTTCATCAATATGTGAAAATATCATCTAACTTATTTTGCCTCTACAGAGATTTGACCCCTGACTTCTCATTGTCTAACTGCCTTTTTAAGTTGAATACTACTTTTGTTATGAACAAAGATGTTGCAAGACGAGTAACGAACACGAAACTCCAAAACATTGCTGCCCAGCACAGGTATTACATTCACATACAATGAGATTTTTAAATCATTAATTGATGAATATTATCCAGAAAGAAACAGCTAGGATAATATTTTTGAAACATTAATTGATGAATTTTTTCTTTTGATCAGTAAAAGATAGTATTATAGATTGCTAGCATTAAGAAAATGCTGAGAAGTATGAACAACTAGCAACAGTTACATATTTTGTAATCCGCTAAAGACATCAAACATAACTTCTACAGAAGTAATTGAAGCCATGCTGCACCAAAAAGAAAGGAGATACATCCGTATTTAACTACAAATACAGATTTCATTAATTGTTGAATATTGTCCAGCAAGAAACAGGTAGGATGAATGAGGGTGAGGGGGGGGGGGGGATATCAAACAAACAGACATGTGAAAACATACCCCAAATACCACCCTTCTCATGGGTCCATTGTATTTCACTTGAACATTGACAGTTGATGATAATGCAACGATACTTGGCACATCAACAGCAAGTATCTCACCCACCTCAAGATTTTTCTGTACAACTGAGGAAGAAAAACACATTTTGTCAAAGAAAGGAATCAGAAAATAGAACTAATGATATTTTAAGACCTCTTAATCTTATATTCTTATATAACTCGAATAAGAAAGTAGTCCAAGCATTCTTCTTATTTAACCATCTGATTCCCCCAAGAATCCAGTACTAGCTCAGGAAGACATGTCACGTTTCTGAATCACATGAAGGCAAGAAAGAATTTCCCAAAATAGAATCACATTAGTGTGGGATGACCAATAGTCAAAACAACAATAGCAACTACGCCTCAACTGCAAACAAGTCGGGTCGGCTATATGAATCCACACTTACCATGTCTCTCCATTTAAATTTATCTCGGGCAAACATTTTACAAATAAAATAATAAATACTAGAAGTTTCATATATTTTTTGTGGGCGTCAAAATCTTTGATAGGGCTAAAAGTGTGAATCCCCGTGAATTTCTATAATTAATTCGGGTTAATTTCAAGCTGAAGGATGCAATTTAATCGAACTTGGGTCATGCAGGACCCGCACAAGTATAACAAAGTCATGAGAACGCTTGTATTTAACATTGATATAGCTTGGAATTGATATAAGTATTGGGATTAAATGAAGGAATCCATGTTATTAAGTTGTTGGGATCATTAATTAGTAATGATTGAAGTCACAATGAGGGAATGTATTAGTTAACAAAATGAAATGCAAAGTGAAACAAATTTGAAATCAATGTTTCTCTAAAGATAGACAATTAGTAAACTAAGGAATATAGAGAAATGGAAACACTGCCTGCACGTTGACAACCAAAATTTGGCGTTGTGCAGATATCCCGCAGAGGCAAAAATTATTTCTGGATATGTCTGTGTTTGTTGTGTGACGCACAAGGACTAATTTTTGCTACAGAGTAAATCTATAATGGTAATTGGGGAGAGAGAAAAATGGACCAAAAATTATTTAAGTTTTGGGAGTTTTAGGAGCGTCTATGGTATTACATCCTCATTAGATGAGTTTCTTTGTGCATTTATGGATGGCATTCAAGTATTAAATACTAGCCATAACACCAACACCAAGCCATCATTGAATTTTAGATTCAACCTGGTAAATTCTTGACCTCTTGCTCCATTATATTGATGATAAGGGTATTATTGATGTGTTCTTTAGTTAGAAACACCAAGTACTTCATGGATTGAGCAAGACATAGAATGTAGGATTTTTCACCATTATTGGGTTAAGCAAAGAAGACAATAGATAGTGTTGACTTGGTGAAAATTAGTTAAATGCTATTCCTTCTAAAGCTGAAAGCATTCTTATTGAGTATGACATGAGAGATTTAGAGTTAAAGCTCAAGAATTAACTTCTATGGTGAGAATATGGATTTTACTAGACTTGAGAAGTCGGACCTAAGCGTTGGACACTTAGTTAGCTTAGTTGGTGTTGTGGTGACGCACCATTGATATACGTGTGTTTGTATATGTAGACAAGGAATCCTTGGCATCGTTGGATCTTTTGGGGTAAGATTTAGAAAGAGATTCGAGGAATGTTGAAACTTACTACCTCTTGAAGCTTATCCCAATTTTCATATTGTTGAATTGATTTTCGGAAGTGGTATAATGTGAATCCTAGCTTGTGGGGGAGTAGGTTGAGATTGCACATCGAACTACATGTGCCGGTTTAGGTATACATTCCAAGGTTTGTGGGATAAAGTCCCCTATTGAGAAGGCAAATGATCATTGCTTGATGTACTGAGGTTAAGTTGACTTGTACAGCAATACAGGAAGCCGTCCAGGCAAGTAGGTCAAATATTTATGACTAGGTTGATCACCCAGAGTCGTTGTTTCTATTTATGCAAGTGTCGGTATGGCACTCCCGGTAAATGATAAATCTCACATGATTATGATTAATCTTTTTTTTTATGACAAGGAAACCCGCAGCCGCTACCCTTTGGGTGTGCATATGGTAAAACCCTTGCTCCTATGCAGTAGCGCGCAAACCATAAATGAAAGGTAACCCGCACTGCACCCAGTGCGACGAGCTTGACCTAGTAAGTAAACCCCTTGCTTTCGCTAGCAAGGGGTTTTGAACTTGAGACCTCCAACATGGAAGTCCCAAGCCTAAACCACTGGGCCTCCCTGAAAGGTTGTTATGATTAAGCTTTAATGCTAAGAAATGAGGATTTTGAGATGTATTTTACTTTGATATTTATTTCATTGTTTAAACTAAGAATTGATATAAATGCTTCTTTCTTATATCAATCAATATACATATCACTCGATTTCTTTAAATCTTGTCTCACTTCTTGGGGAAACAGTTGCATGAGACAGCTTAGGCCTTTTGACCATTCAACTTTTGATTTCAGGATTATGTGTTGACCATCCTGAGCCATGTGGTTAGGAAAACTTCACCTCTTCCAATAGGATAGTTTTGGTGAGACTCCATTTACGTCTCGTGGATCTTAGACTGTGATATTCTTTGAGTTGTCCGGGTCTGTCTTGGTTGACTAGCTTAATCCTTGTCATAGAAGTTCCATAGACGGTGGTAGTTCTTTCGAATCGTAATTATGATTGTTCATTTGGAATGCATGCATGATAATTTATTACTTTTATGAATATTTCATTTTCAAATGAAATGTGGTTTGATTTAATGGTTGTATTCATGCATGGTTTTCAATAAGATTTGGATTTTCCAAAAAGCTTCCGCACTCATGAATCTAGGTGCATAAGTAGGGATTATTAGATGGGTTGGTTTGCTCGTGCCGAGCAAAGTCCGGGGTGCCTGTCACGTGGATTTGGGGTGTGACAAAAAGACTTCTAAAAGCATAGGACCTAAAGTAAACATACAAAATATGACTAAAACAAATTCCTAGCTTATTGGTATCACCGATATAGATCAAAATAAAATCTCATTGAATGGTGTCAGATAATTCTACAGGTTATTGGACCCTCAACATTTTCTCCCTTTTCTCTCTCAAATGGCAGGGTGCTGGCTCAAACAAGCACATATAAGACCAAAAATGAAAGTGAATACCCATCATCTGTTCTTGGCATGTCATCTTTAATATATTTCCATAAAACTCTTAAATTTATTGGTGAAGTGAGCTTCAAAATCATACCAGAACCACCCCCAACTACGAAAGCAAGCCCTTGGCCCGATATCTTCTGCCTTAAGAATCCCTGGAAATGTTACAAGCATATCAGTCAAAGGCTCAACCTGTTTGTAGCAATTAACATCAGTAAGGAAACTCATGCCCAGATATTTAAGCCAAGATAATTCGGTCATCTCACCTCTGCACTTGCCACGAGGTTACGTGGCCTTTGGTCAATGGTATTGCTGACTTTGACATCATTAATGGAGCAGAGGAATGCATCTGGCTACAAAATAATATCTTAAAATCATATGTCAAGATAGAAAGCATACTTAACCGGTAAGCACGTAAACAAACAGGAGCGCTGCTTTAAAGGAAGAGAACCTATTCGCAAAAGGGAAGTAAAGAAAGATAAAGAATTATCTTTACCTGGCATAAGATTTCACCTCCAAACTTTGCTAAATCAATCTGTAGGGAAACAATGAATTAGAATAAAACAAACCACAATTAATCTAGTAATAGTATGTGTAAACAGAATAATATATGCTAACAATTGTGTACTATGCCCCACAGCAAGAACAAAGAAGATCTTATTCCCAATTTCTGGATTGATACACACAAGCATGCACATACTAACTATAGAAGATTGAATAACCAAACAAGATAAAGATATAGTTTGGATATGAACGAACCGGGAGGATTCTTGCCAGAGAAGGAGCAGCAATTCCAACAAACCCATCAGTTGTACCTGTATTGTGAAGAACTATGCTTGTAGTATTCTTTCCAAAAAGCCATTGCCAGACACCTGCTTCGTTTTCAGTGGCATAGACATTTTCCATCTGGATGGAACCAGACATATAGCACATGGACCCTGCAAAGCATTCGAAGATTCCCGTAAGTCAGTTAAGAATGAGTAGTAAATATCAAATTTAAAAATGATTTGTGGATATTTTGATTAAGTTATACTCCCTCTGTCCCTAATTAGTTGTCCACTTTTCCTTTTTTAGTTGTCCCTTTACTTGTCATTTTGACAAATCAAGAAAGGACAATTTTTTTGCCTATTATACCCTCAATTAATTACTTTGAAAAATGTAGAACTTCTTGAAAACCTTAACTTTTTAATTCATCTACTTCATAATTAATAGGGGTAAAATGGTAAACTCACTATGTCAATAATTGTTTTCTTAATAGGTGTGCCAATTCAAAAGTGGACAAGTAATTAGGGACAGAGGGAGTACTAAATATCCTTGAGCGAAAGTATAGGACCTGATAAGATACAGTGCTCTATGTATAAAATGGCAACTTAACATTTTTCTGAGGCAATATCTCTCCCCTCCTCCCCCATCCCCACCCCCAAAAGGCAGAGGAAAGAAATGAAAGACTAAAAACAAAAAAACCAGTTGTATACACCTAGCCAATTGTTAAGCATTCAAGACAAATCAGTAAATACAGCAAGCATTTGTGGGGCATGACCCAATTACTATGATGTGTAAATACAAGCACATTGACACAATAAACAGACAGTTTACTATTTGTTAGGGGTGAGTGGTTCAATACGACAACCTTCTAGAAGCAAGCCTATTCCTTAAGTGACACATATTAGACCAAATTTTTTCATGTCATGCAATGCTCGTCTTCTGTTGCATAAGGTGTGGAAACTGTGTAACGTAACCTTTCAAATTCAGACTTAGTAAATGTTTCTATCCCAAAAAAGTAGTTAGCAACTATGAGCAACAACTTCTACGTACTCCACACATACTTGTACACCCTTGAGAGTTGAGGCAATATCAGCTCACTAGTTGGTTAAGTTGTAGACTTTACAACCAAACCAACATGCATTCTTTAATATCAGTATAACGGGCAAAATGAGGAGATTTGACATCATGTTCAGTGTAAGACTAACTCAAGCAGTCAAGGTGCGCGCAAGCTGGCCCAAACACCTCAGTTATTCTTTTTCAAAAAAGGACTAAAGTTTGATAAGCAACAGGCTCCTTATAAAGAATATTTTGTTTTGATCAGGTAAAGTAATTTCATTAATAAAGGCATCCAGAGGATGCAAAAGCAGAATACATAAGAATATGATTAGCAACATACCAGGTTTTGCAATAATTCTTTCTTGTGGCTTCAACATAATCTGAAACATATATACAAAAAAGAGAAAGAAATATATTCAGATAAACTTAATAAGTTTCCCTGTTACCGAGAAGACAAACTGCATGTGAGGTTACCTGAACGATCTGAGCTTCACCGCCCAGAATTTGAAAAGGTGTTACAGCATCTTGCGGACTCTACAGCACAAACATAATGCAATGGTCAGGATATAGCTTTGTGTAGACAGAGGAAGGGCGAATTGGTTCATTATTTATGTTATGGATCTTCAGCCTAACTCAAGAGGTGATGATTGCTCAAACCGGACTCTTCCCCTACCCTCACACCCAGCGTTGGACATCTGATGCATGTGCAATTTAATATGCGTGTCCAACATTGGAAAGGAGAATTTGGATGGCTTTTGCACTATTACCATGATAAGAAATGGACATTGGAGCTGACTCATCCCCTAACGCTAGCTCATGGGGGAGGAGTTCCCAAGACCATATAAGATGACCAATTATCCATTCCACTATCGATGTGAGACTTCTAACACTCTCCCTCACATCCAGACCTAGTAAACTGGAGTGTGGACAATATAATATGGGGGCCCAAAATCAATGAAAAAATAATTGAGATGGGCATTTACTCTGATACCATGATATAAAATGGACAATGACCGGACTCATCCCAAAATGCTAGCTCACGCAGGAGGATTTCCCAAAATCATATAAGGTGATCAATTCCTCATCCCACTACCGATCTGGGACTGCTAATAACTTATTTAATTCAGACCAAGTTACAACTTTGCCTACTACAGTATTTATATCTCCTTTTTTTACTGTGAGCGACAAAACCAAGCACGCATATCATATTACACATAGTTTCCAAATTTTCTATGATGGAAAAATAATTATAAGTAACTGGACAGTGGCAGAATAGCATATCCTTTAGTAGAAGATTTATGTGCTTGATCTTATTTTCACGGGATTCAGTTTCATAGTCATGAATATTGAATATACTTAAATAGCAACTTTAGTCTTTCCTACCCTCTCAGCCACTGCTATTTAACTTCATTGCCCATTTTTAGCATCAACACTTTCCCTCTCCACAAATTCCAACGTGAAAATTTAAGCTGCTAAATTTGTAAACAACTACCTGAACCTATAGCTCGCGAGTTAATAATTTCACTTTCCAATGATGATCCAGAACCTTAACTAGGGACAGTTCATAAGTTGAGACAACTACCGTTGCAAATAAAATGAGATTCTATCAGGACACCCTTTAACATATCAATCATCACTTAAGCATCACAAATCCTCTATATCCATTCTAATACATCCAACAAATATTAGCATTTCCCAAAAACTCTTCAAAACACCAAACTCATAACTTCTCCCCTCAATGTGATTTCCCAAGCTGTAAAGTTCCATTCTTTTAACCCTTCTCCCAACTAAAAAGCAAATTCTAAAATTTTTATACACATTGTCAATCCTGATTCTTACATAAACTCCCCCCCACCCACCCACCCCACCCAACAGATTTTACACACTCGAGCCGAAACAATTTCAATCAGTAAGAACAAAAGAAAAGAAAAAAACCTCAACCACCAACTCCAACTATATACAAATTAATTGTGCACTCACCTCGACTAATTCCGCAGGACACACACGCACCTCATACTAATTCCATATGATACAAATGAGAAAAAAATCACATAGTATTTTCCTTTTATCTATGCTGGAATTTGAACCTACCTCCTGCTACTCAACCCACTTCATTGAACATTGAACACTAAACCACGCCATTGGGTTATAAAAATTGATTTTAAAAAATTTAAATTTATGAATTTCATACTGTCATCACCAGAGAGATTAATCGGTGCAGTGACACCAACACTCTATAACATCAAATCCTGGATCCATCTTCGAAAAAAAAATACAATAAAATTGAGAAAAAATTCCAAAAATAACACAAAAACTTGCGAATACCTGATAAACAAAAGGTTGAAACGGCGTCGAGAAAAATGGGGCAGCCATAGATCGAATAAATTTCAGAATTTTCAGATCGCCGGAAGATCAATTTTCCGATTAGGATTTTCTTTTTTTTGGTTTTCTCTTTTTTTGCTGTTAATTTTTTTTTTTTGTATAAATATTTTTGGTTCGTTTTGGATTATACTGTATTAAATATGATATTAATTAGTAATAAGGTTATGCTAAAGTATAAAATTTTATTGTTCCATAAATACCCTTTGGTTTTCATTTGGTTTTGTAATTAAAGTCAATGGCTCGTTCAATAAGCAGTAGCGGCATTTTGGTCATTTGAATAGATAATTATTTATATTTTTAATATTTATTTGTAGTTTTAATAATTAATAGTACTATGTTGTTTTCCTAATGACGTGGCGATTCCTTATTGGTTAATATATCCCCATCGACGTGGTCTTACTTGTCCAACCTGTCGATATAAAAATTAAAAATTGAACGACAATTAAATTTAGGGAATTGTATGAAATAATAAACTATTAATTCAAATTAAATGTTATAGTCATAATTTCTTTTATTTGTAATTTGCAGTAAACATTCCATGTTTTTTGTCATCTCATTTGTAGATCGAAATATACAAATGCAGGACCCATTTGTATACCAAAAATATACAAATGCAGGACCCATTTGTACATCGAAATGTACAAATAGATCGAAATATACAAATGCAGAACCCATTTGTATATCGAAATATACAAATGCAGGACCCATTTATATTTCGAAATATACAAATGCATGACTCATTTGTATTCCGAAATATAAAAATGCAGGACCCATTTGTATCTCGAAATATACAAAGAGACCAAAATATACAAATGCAGGACCCATTTGTATACCGAAATATACAAATAGACCCAAATACATATAGGGGAAAATTATATGAAATAGCAAACTATTAATTCAAATTAAATGATATAGCCATAGTTTATTTTATTTGTAATTCGCAGCAAACATCCCATTTTTTGCCATCTGATTTGGTATACAATTAGTCATTTTCGGTATACAATTACCCATTTGGTATACAAATATATAAAATGTGTTTGTGTTTGTATGAAACGAGAGAAAAGTGTATATACAAATACAAATACATATATTTTTTTCATATACACTTATAATTATACAAATGCAAATTTTATTATACAAATTACAATGTATAAATGAATTTATACAAAACTGAATAATTTGTATAAAATTGGATGTATCTAGCGAATTATACAAATCAAAAGCTCCATAGCAAACATAAATTTTGCTATGGAATGCAATTATGTAAACTATAGCTATAATATACAAATCTGATTTTTATATTTGATATATGTGAAAGATACTCTTTAAAAATCATATTCAACCAATTGGAAATATTCACTACCTCATGCTTATTGGACTCTTGAGACAATACATCACAAAAATAAACTCATATTGATTGTAAACAAGTTTTACAAATAATATTTTATATTAATTGTATTTTTTGCGCTTTTTAATATATCTTATCTTCATTTCATGTCATAGGCTCCAACTCTACCCCACTCTTAATCACCTCTCATAAGATTTACTTAATTTATATATAAATACTTTTAAAATAACATTATTTGCTCAAGTATAAGATGCTCCTAATAAATAAGTAATACTCTTATTTATTTTTTTAGAAAATCTATTCCAATGGTCTATATTTTTAAGATTTAACAGAGTTGAGAAAAGTGTATATAACAAGGTTACATGTTTAAAACATGAAATGATTATAATATAAGTATTATTTAATTTTTGAAAAGATTAAGGTATAATATCTTGTCCTTTTGAGTGATGGGGTCCCTTTTTTTTTATTCTCCAATTATTTCGTAATAATGAAAGTCAAATTACGGCTAATTCTAGCAAAAATATAAAAATAATCAAATATTCTGAGACAGTGACGGATTCATAATTTTTGCTCAAGGGATTCAAAGTGTAAAGAAGAAGTTCAGGTGGTAATGCAAGTGTGCGGTGAGCGTAGTAGCCCCTCGGCATGCTCTTTGTACAAGAAATATAGATATTTCATTGGTTCATAAAAGTAAAGACTAAACTAATCAATTATATCGAGGACAAAGATACATTGATAAGAATTTTAGTAGTTCGACAGTATTACATAAGTTAATTCCTAAAACACGTGAAAATTAAATGATGAAAAAGGCAGCGAGGCGGGAAAGAAAGATATTTACCTTATTATGCTAAATTTAATTTACTTTATCATACCCTATTAAACATTTCTTTCTACTTTTATCATGCTCCATCGAGCATTCTTAAAATTTCTTGTGCTTTTTATACTTTTATTTTGTAATGTTTTACTTTATTTTTCAGTTTTAATAAAATTAAATTTGTATCCATTCAATCACATATTATTATGAAAATCATCATAATTCTCTAAAAGTGTGTAAGAATAGATTTACCTAATATTATAATGAATATTAAGAAATAAATAAATAGCATCATCAATTATTTTAGTTCATAAAGTTCAATTTACTAGGTTAGTCATAATTTGTAAAAAAAAGACAAATAACGAATAAATCAAATAAGTTTAGTTTTCATCTCTCTAAAATAGAATTAAAAATATAAAAAAAAATCATGAATTCTATTAAATTAGTATTTTAAAAGGATGTTGACGATACTTAAGTTTCTTCATTCAATTACATCTAATTACCTTTTTTTTTTTAAATAATAATATTTCTATCTCAATTTCAAGTTAAATATAATTCATCATTTTTTAAGAGAGTTATTCGAGTTAGTATATGAAAAAAGTGTTACGTTGAAACAAAATGAATAATAGATATAAAAAGAATAAAAAATAAAACTAAAAAGAATGTGTCTAATAAATTTAAACAAAAACAAATTAAAAAGAAAAAATGGGATAAAAGGAAAAAATAATGAAAAAGAAGAAAGAAGGTCTAAGTCCAAAAGTTGCATTTTCCAAAGCATTAAAAGAGGAAAAAAAAATGTTGCCCATGGGAATTAAATCCACGACATAGGGGCATTTCTTGAACAACTTATCCACTAAGCCAAGTCTATCCTCTGTTTTCAGGGGTTCATTTTAATATATATACGCATAAAATCAGAATTTAACGTTATATATACAATGTAATTTTTTGACGAGGGGGTTCGGGTGAATCCCCTTAACTCCACCTAGGTCCGCCCCTGCTCTAAGGGGTTGTTTGGTATAAATAATAATAAAGCGGGGATTAGTAAAGTATGGATTAGTAATGCATGGATTAGTAGTGCAGAGATTAGTAATGCAAGACTTATTTTTATCAAGTGTTTGGTTCATTATTTCCCACCCCATCTTGTGTTTGGATTAAAATTCTATAAAAAGTTTCTTTCCAATTATACCCTTGAATTTATTATGTAATTGGGTCAAATAGATAATTGGCGGACAATATATTTTTATATGGCCTTCTAACAAGCTAGGAGAAGAACAATTTTATTGTCATGTTTTCTATTTTTCTCACTTGAATTATTTGAAGGTAAATAGTTGTCATCTTAGTAAATTGATTACTCACAAAATGTCAATTTTTAATTTACAAAAGATAGACCATCTAATTTTAAAATCGAAAAAAGGGTAAATAATAATTAAATCGAATAAACCATCTACAATTGTACATAACTATTGCAAGTTGTAATTTTAATATGTATGCAATTTTATAAATTGTTCAAAATACAAATAATTATATATATATATATATTTAACTCTTTGATCAAAAACGTCATGTGGTGATATATTTACCTCTTTGATTAGTAAATGTTAAGCAATTCACATTTCAAATATTGTATTGATTTGTATTGAATTTATTTAGCAACAAACAACTCTCTCTAAATAATTTCTAAGCTATTTATTTAAATGAATTTACTAGTATAAATATAAAACATAAAATCAAGAAAATAAACAAAACAATTAAAATGATTTGAGGGATATTTTTATCTTTACATAGACATATCTCATGGTATTATATCATATGTATTACTAATACCTCCAAATGAAAGGTACTAGTAGTACACCCTATAATGTCATGTAGGATGTATAACTAATCCATGAATTAGTTATACATAGGCTCAAATTCATGTCAAACATAGTACTAAATAATATCGCATATATTACATAGACTATTTCTTTTAATGCGGCCTACCAAACGATCCTAAGTATTACCATAGACAAAAAAATAATTTGTCTCTTCAATTATATCATTGTATTAAATTACTATTTCTTTTTAATAGTGTTCCATTCTTGAGAAATATTTGTTCCCTTTGTTTCCATTTGTTTGTCATATTTTCTTTTAGTCCGTTTTTTTTATAAAAAAAAAACCTCTTTCTCTTTTTAGTGACTTTTTTTTTATATGACACATTTAAGATCACAAGATTAAATGATTTTTAGTAAAAAAAAAAAGTTATATTTCTTTGGATCAAGACTATAAAATTCAAAAGTCTTTTTAAAAAAACTTCATATCAAGTCAAAATATGACAAACAAATGGGAGGGAGGGAGGGTAATAAATATGGAGGAATCCTTAGATTTTTTAGGCATAAAATTCTCTCCAATATTTGCGCGATGACAAGGAATAACATTCGAAAGTATTGCTGACTTAATATTTAGTTTTGACATAGCAAATCTTGCACCGTCTTTTCTCACTTAGGCGCACAACATGCTATTAATAGTGAAACGACAGCAGATATGTGAGGGTTCAAAAAGATAGGGCTTGTTCGTGCTTTTCGAGATGCTACCTATAATTCAACATGAAAGAGGAAACTACAGAATCCAATAATTAAAGCAAAAAACATAAGTTCTTCATGAATTAAGGAGACATAAAGTAAGCAGTGTCACTTACAATCAATTAGGTGACATGTTCCACAAAGAATATATGCTAAATGACGAACGAAAATTGATTGATGCTACAACAATTATTGTATAGAAAGATTTACCTTCCTTGTATACTATTGTCATTCAAGTAATGAATAGATTGTTAATATAATTATTTTTTTCACCCGATTAAATTGTTAATATGTGTAACTGAGTTATTACACATTATAAGCTACTATATGTCTAGCTTATACCCAAAAACTCATCCAAATCTATAATCAAGTTCCTTATCTTGCTAGCATGTCAACTCTCATA